TATATATATATATATATATGTATATATATGCCACAACAACCAGGCAAGAGAAAAAAAATAAAATTTAACTCTAGGGAGGAAGAAGTGCAGTTATCAATATTTACAAATGTGATACTCTCCATTGGAGAGCATGAAAACTGTGCCAAAATGCTCCAACAATTATTAAACAAATTCATTAGCACAGCAGGTATAATGCCAACATTGAAATATAAGCTATTCAACAATAATAAACACAATGAGAGAAATAGAGACAATAACTCTCACAGTCATATTAAGGGAAACAAAACAGTTAAAAGTGAACATAATGAAGCAAATATCTCTACAATGAAAGTTAAGGTATTCTAAGCAAGAAGATAGAGGAAGACTTTAGAAGACAGAAACTGTTCCAAAATTGTCACACAGATGTAAAACAATCCCAATCATAATACCAATAGCAGTACTCAAGAATCTGTGGATAACAAATCCTAAAATTCAAGTGGAACCGAAAGTGACCTAGAATAGCAAAAATAGTTTTTCCAACAAGTAGAGGGCAGGAAAGATAATACTATAACTCTACAGTGATTAAAAACAGCATGGTATTGGCAAATCACAAATATGTGTGTCAAATGAACAAAGTAGAGGGTACAGAAACACATAAAGACATACTCTACCTTTTGGGTGGATGATTGTGAGAAAAAGCACTACGTAATTTAGGCTGGTCTTCAAATCACTATGTAGCTCAAGCTGGCCTTGAACTCATAACAATCCTCTTGTCTCTGCCTCATGAATTACTGGATAATAGGCATGCAATACCAGGTCCAGCTTCTACTTTTTTTAACATGAAGTACTATTTATTGAACATTTACTGTTAATAAATCTGTTTTTTGAAAGAGTTATCTTAAATTTTCTACAACTCAATACATATACCAATATTCAGCAAAAGAAACTGAGGATTAGATATAAATACTTCAAGGTAATTAATATAAGACATGACTGGTTCCTAATATAATATTATACATTTCACTAAACACTGCATTCTAAATTTCACTTAATACATTACCATGAAACTAAGACATTCTTTTATGCAGCAACATGAAAAAAATCAAAATATGGTAGGACACTTTCTCTTAATCAAATTGTTTTACAAAATAGTTTACAGAAATCATGCAAAGAATGTCTACATATCTTGTGCTTCATTTTCTAAGATATTAATACTTTATATTT